ATACTAAATTTAAAAACTATAATTAGTATTTATTCATATATTATATTTTAAAATCAAAGAACTACTAATCAGGATATAATTAAAGAAATAAGAGTTCATGTTGCTTTTAAAATATTTCACCAATTTCTCTAAAGGAAACACTATCTACAGATTTGCATCGAAGCGTTTCTTATGATAGTGATTTTAATCACTGTCAGATATCATCTATACTTGTCCCATCTATGCCTCGTCCACACTGTGCCTCGACCCCACTGTGCTACCGTTTTTTTTAATCTATTTTCTCTTTAATTATTATTTAATACATGTTATAGTTATATATGAATTGATTTGGTTATTAGCTACTTTTGATTTTGATATTATGTTAGTTATTTTTATATTTTTTGTAAATATGGCTTTATAATCAACTTACTGTTCAAATGTACTTTTTTTACTTTGAACTTTTTATTTTGTACATTTTATCGAGGAATGTTTGATAAGTTTTACATCAATTCCAACATGGTAATAAGTATACAAGTTTATCCATACATTATCAGAACAGTACAGTATTAATAATTTTATTTATCTCATATATGATATACAAGTTTATGAGTTTATCGTAAAAATTAGAATCCATCTATGACAACTATGCTGTACAGTATCAAATCACAGTTACCAATATTCATATTTTGTTATATGGTTTCTTTTTGTGTTTGCCATTAATTTTTCTCAGCTCTCACTTGACTAATTTTAATGACCAATACGCTAAAAGAACATGATTTTAATCTTGTTGAAATTATTATCACGAAATGTTGGTAAAAACCCTTTAATTTTAGAATTTTTTTTTTCAAATCTACCATAACTTTTTGAAAAACGAACGAATCAAAATTTTTTTTTAATATAAAAACCTTAAATATTTTCCTTTTATTTGACATAATTTTTTTAAAATCTGACCCTTTACCTGCCCATTTTAAAAAATCACATAGTAAAATAATTTTAATATGAATAAGAAATTTCTAAAGACGAGGGGAAACTATAGTAATGGGTACCTTGATATTCATTAAAGTTTTGAATCTAAATGAGATAAAAATCAAATGAATTAAACAATTTTTCCTAACTCAAAATCCTTTTTAAGGCATTTTAAAATAAATAAAATACAAAATCGAAAATTATAACACAAAAATAACATATTTTTAAATACGGTAGCCATTTTTACCATAAAGACAAACTAAGGTAGGAAAAAAAAATTTTTCATATTAAAGTATATTATATAAGCTTTAATTTATATAAAAGTGTCAGTAACTCTGAAACAGTATCAAGTTAATTTTTTGTGAAAAAGTTATCATTTTGAATCCCCTACTGTGAACACATAAAAGGTCAGATTTACAAAGAAATATGTCAAATGATAAGTAAATACTTCGTGTATCTTTAAAAAAAACCATATTGATTTGGACATTTTTAAGAAAGTTGGTGCAGTTTTATGTAAAAAAATTGAAAAAATCTGGAAAATTAGTCGATTTTTAAACTTGTATTTTTTTTTGAAAATTTCCCACATTTACGAGAAACGAGAGAAATTTTTTCAATTTTTGAGGGTAATGTGTGTCGACTTGATATGATGTGATCTCTTTACGTATCGTTAAATGAAATCAGTTCGGTGAGAACTGAGAAAAAGTGGTAAAATACAAAAATAAAAACATCATAGTAAAATTGATACCTTCCAGCTTCTCTTCGAATCTAAAATTCTTTGAAAATGGGTTGGGTTGAAATGAAAACAAATCCCACTAGATTTTTATTTGAAAGGTCCCCTCTAACCAATGCTTGGCTAAAAGGAAATCAAAAGCTAAAATATCAAAAAGGTAAGTATAAAATTATTATATCCACACAAAAATAAAAAAAAGCATATAATACTCCTGTTTAATGATCTAATTTGAAGAGCAATTAATTAATAGAATTCTTAAATAGTATTTTCATGACCTATAAATAATCAATTATATAATAAATAATAGGAATTCATTAGCTATACATTTTTTTTAGTATAGGAATTTTGTAGAAAAAATATTAGTTAACAATAAATATGCCGTAATAAACTATCAAACAATATATATTTTAATAAAACAAAATTTAAGGTTGATGTATCTATCACACCATTTTATATAAATTAAAAAATAATAATATAATAGAAAAATATTAATACAATATTTTATATAAAATAATAATTTGATTTATCATATTATGGGCTTTTTAGTAATGCATGCTTTACTTTCATATAAATATTATCATAACGTAAAATATTACACATTCAAAATTATAGAAATTTTTTNAAATCACTATTAATATATATATATATATATATATTTTTTATTAGTATAGTAACAAAAAAGAAAAAATCTTAAATTTGTAACAGAAAATAAATTTATAATAATTTAAAAAAATAAAATATTGGAACTCAATGAGTAATCAAAAGCAAAGTTAAAATGTCAGTTATATAAAATAGTTCTAAGTCAATATAACCATTATTTTATTCAAAGACAAGCAAGCATTGATGATGTAGATATTGTTTCTGGATCATAAGGCATTACTGAATTTGAAAGGTGTACACCAACAATTATATGATCAACAACAGCAGATGGAGCCGGATCTATGAATAAACAACGGCCATCAGCATGCAACACATCTAAAGGAACTGTGTATGGTTGTACATGTCCTGTCCAAGAATGACCTTGCTGTTCACAATGATTTTGTTGCTGTCTAGTATTATTATAGTTAAGTCCAGAAGGTGGTATATTATTAATACCACCAGCTATTAATGTTGCTGTCGTTGAAGAAGCACTTGTATTATCACCATATGATGATACATGCTGAAACAATTTTTACGATTATGATTTTTTTAAGTCTAGCGCGTAAAAATTTTAAATATTTTATGATTAAAAAAANAAAAAAAAAAAAAAAAAAAGCACTTATAAGAGTTTCTTGTAGGTAGTATTTTAAATTTTTTTTTAAAACATTTAGCTTATCTGAAAAATGAATTGTTCATCCCTAAATTAGATCATCAATAATAAAAATATTAAAAATATATACTATATTAGCCTGATGTTATTTAAAAAAACAAAACAAAATATTTTAATTTCTTATTATAAACAAACAAAAGTTGATGTTCAAGATTATACAAAATTAAATACCTGTATTGTTGCGACAAAAGTACGACTATAACAATCATAAGCCACTGTAACAATATATACAGTATTTTGAACATATTGAAGATGTGTATAAAAACAATAATCACGTACATCTTGACGTCGAAATGCATGTGTAATTGTACTTCCGTAAGATATCATTTCTTGATGACACTATATAAACAAAAGTTATTATTCATATCATTATGACTAAGTTTAAATATTCAAATATAATCAAGAACATTATTAGAAAGATATTAACAATAATAAAAAAAATGTTAAGATTAGCTGCTATATGCTAAACATTTTTTTATCTATAACATATGAATGATGATTAAGGTGAAATAAATATTTACAAAAAAATCATCTAAAAAATTAAATATTTGATTCAAAATAAATTATTTAAAAGAGTATTAGGAAAAACTTCTATCTAGCCATATTAAGGACTTTTCTTATTACTTGAAAATATACTGGATGTAACAAAATTAATATCAATTTCAAAGCACTAAAAAAGCAATTTGTAAAATTAAACACGTAGTTTTATTTGGTAACAAATTCATTTTTGAAATTATATTTTAATCAAATTTATGATATTTTAAAATTTAACACTATAAGGTAGAGGCAAGGTTGACATAAAATAATTGAAATTTAAGTAAATTCAAAACTTGCTTTTCATTTACAAAATCAGAAATTAGAATTGTTAAAAAAAAACCAAATTATTTTTAATCAATAATAAACTGCAAATTTTGTAACATTTTTTATTTATAACAAAAAAAAAAGTAAAAAAGGAGGTGGTGTAAGAATGTACACATTTTTTTATTTAAATGGTCATAAAATTACTTGTGTACTATTCCTTTGTTCAGTAATTGCTATTTATAGGATGGTCCTGTATGTACTGACAACTAACAACTTTACTCCAGTCATTATATGGTATTACTTTGTTTTTAACTGTTATATGTTGAGACAAACAAATTTTATAATAAATAATATTTTCATTCATTATTCAAAAAAAAAAAATTTTAATTTACGAAAAATGTAAAAAAAAATGTATGATAAACACTTTGACAAAATGTCAATTTTGAACATTCTTTTTCTTAAAATCTACTATACAAAATTATTTTATAAAATTAATAAGTAAAGTTATGAAAATATCATTGAGTTTTTGAATAAATATTAATAACAATTAATTAACTATAATTAAAATAGAAATATTTTGTTTATAATATTTAATGCTATGTTAAATTACCATTAACTTTTTAGTTATATCAATTTTTAGACAAATAATATTTATAATAAAAAGTTATGAATTAAAAATTACCTATTAAAATAAAGACAATGTTTCCTTATTGAATTTTAAAGCTTATATTTATTAATTACCCATGTATAAAGTTATGAAATCATAACATTAGAAAACCCTGATATTCATTTTGCTACACCTGTATTATAGTCAATGGTAAGTGGAGGCCATGGCTTCTGCAACCACCCGGCATGAGATTACATTTGGATAAACATTTTACATATAAATAATAAAAACTTACTGTAAATAAATGCACATACAATGTAGCTGAGTGGGAGTACCACAAACATCCAGCCACTGGACATGGAAGCATATTTGCAAACTCAGCCAAAGTATGATGATGATATTGTTGCCCATTTTCATTTGCATTAACGACTGTTGATAAATTTTCCGCATTTATGTTTTGTAACTTCAAAAAGATAAATAAAATAAACATATTTTTGTAAAATTATAATTTGCTAAACATAACATTGAAGCTAAAATAATAATAAAAAGTAAACTTAGGTCAAAAAATATAAAATAAAATACAAAACCCAGAATTTTAACACAAAAATAGCATAATTTTGAATACGGTAGTCATTTTCACCATGAAGACAAATCCAGAGGTCAAATTATTTTTTTCCAAAATAAAGTATATTACATAAGCTTTAATTTAAGATATATATAAAAGTGTCAGTATTTCCAGAACACTTTCAAAAATTAAATTGAAAAAGTTCTACTTTCTATACGCATTTTTAAAGGTTTGAGACCCATCTGTATAAAGGGAAATGGTCAGATTTAAAAATAAAGTTTGTCGAATGAAAGAGATATATATAAAGTATTTATCATTAAAGAAAAGAATTGATTTATGTATTTTTTAAAATGCATGATTTTTAAATTTGTAATTATTGGGGGAATTTACCCTGTTTAGGGGAATGAGGAAAATTTTTTAAATTTTTGATGGTAATGTCTTTGACTAGATATGATTTGTGATCTTTTGACGTATTGTTCATCAAAATCGGTCTAGTAAGAGCTGAGATTAAGCGTTCACAGACACAAAAAAATAAAATAAAAAAAAAAAACACATCATAATAAAATTAATACCTTCTCAGCTTTGCATCAAATCTAAAATAAGTTAATAGTTAATAAATTTTCTTAAATTTTTAACTTCACTTTTTTTTATGAACAAAATAAAAAATAATGATTAAATTCATCTACACTGGTTAATCTAAGCAATTATCTTACAAAATATTAATTTGTATGGGAAAAATAAAAATTATTAAAAATTAATAATTTTTTACAATTTATTTTGACCAACTTTTACTTCAAAGTTTAAATTATGATTTAAAAATAAATAATAAGTTTATAAGAAATCACATTTTTCTATCAGCAAACCTTGTAGCCTAAATATTCGGGTTTTTCAAAAAAAATTTTGGATCAATTGGATTGGACTAACTAGAATTTTTTCTATAACTTTTGAATATTTATTTCTTGGATAGACCTTAGCCCTTTCAAAATTTCTGAAAAATTACATATGTCATTTTATTACAACAATTTAGGGAGGGAAAATCACATATAATAAGCCTCTCTAAAATGTTGGTTGAATTTCGATCAACTAAAACAAAGCCTAACTCAATAATTATCGAAGGTATAATAATTCCACAAGGAAAATTAATTGAATACCTGCTTTATACCCTAAACTAAACTGGAGTACTCACATTAAGATAATAAAATGAAAAAGAAATAATATGTATTGGTTAATTGGTTGTAAATAATCACAGCAATCAATAGAAACACAAAAAACTACTTTATGCAGTTATCTTAAAACCAATTGGTACCTAATTATAGTGCTATGCTATGAAACTATGCAAAACATAATACTAAATATTATTACCAACCCGTATATTTATGAGTAAGATGACAATATTCACAAAGATATGATAGTACCCACAGTCAGATAGGAAATTCAATGGTACATATGAGAACATAAAAATCATTTGCACGTCAACAAAGCTGCAGCTCAACTTCTTAATCATACTCAAGACATCAGAAAATTAAAACCATATGAAATTTTGCAATTTTTCTATTAATTTATAATACTCTTCGTTGGAAGTTTTTTTATTTTATGTAATTTTAAATGTTATCATTTATGAATAATTAAAATTAAATCATAATAATGAACAATAATTTCAAGGTTAAATAGAGTAACTAATATAGTATTAAATTTTAATTCTTTAAAAAAAAAAATTATCACTACAGAAAATGCTTTATGAAGGAGGATATTGACAATTTTTTCATTGTTTTTAGTAACAAATTACCTGTATGGGCTACGGGTAATACTTACATGATGATCAGCTAATAAACGGGATTCATAATATTGCAATGTGCATATTACATCTGTTGTATCAGGTAAAGGTATTATAGCATCTTCATTGGCAGCATCAACAGTATCACTGATATAATTTTGAATGTGCATCAAATCATTATTAAGAAACAAGGATTCCTGTAATGAAATAAAGCTTTCACTATAAAAAATCAGTATTTTTATTTATTTATTTTTTAATAATTTTAAATTTTATTCAATAATTTATATTTATTGTATCAATATTTTATAATATTCTGATAGTTTGAAATGTCTATCTAAAAAAAATTCAAATAAATTATAGCTACTGGAAATTTTGGTCATTTTGTTTTAAAACTTACACCTTGATAAATACATAATCTGATTAAATTAGTTTTTAAAAATGTGTAATCAATTAACACTGCTATAATAATTAAAACTGTTGGTTCAATTAAACAATATGTCGTTAAAAAAAGAAACATTTTAAAACCTGTGAAAAAAACTGAAATATTTTTAATAAATTAATTCATAGAAAGATTGACTCCAAATTTATATAAAAAAATTATGGAAATCAGGTTAATTTTTATAAACAATGGGAAAAATAAAAACCCTTTTCCTTACTGATCGTTATTTATATTTTAAAAAAAAATAATGATTTACAAAATTAATAAACATTATAATTAATATCAATTATTACACTTACATCAACAATAAGTCTATCATCACTATCTAATGTTGATGTGTCACCACAACATGAGGGCGTCATCATTATTCCAGTATCTCCAACTCCACCACTATTTTCATCAAAAACTGATCTTGCTGTTGAAGAAGACATCATTGTAGCCCATCGCTGATCAAAATCACGATGTTCACTATCTGTGGTTGATTGATTACTAAGAGTATCTTCAGTTGCTGATGATTCAACATCATGATCATCAACACATGACATATGAGTATTACTAGTTATATCTTCCTCGTCAGCACTTATCTGATCATTTCTATATGATAAAGCAATAAAGAATGAGAAATTCTTTAAAATAAAATCATGAAACATACAATATACAATCCCGTTCTCCTCTCAAGCTAGCAGCTACATCAACATCAGCCAACTGAGGTATATCAGGAAATGCATGTAAATCTGCTGGAGTATAGAAGTTACCTCTATTAACATTAGCAGGTGATTTTGACAAAGAAACTGAGTTAGCATTTGATTTTCTACTATTCCAACATTTACCCTAAACAATAATAACCAAGAACAAAAGATAATTTTAAAAAAATAATAATAAATTATTTTTAAGACATTTCAGGAAAACTTTTAAAAAAGCAATTAATGAATTTTTATTAAAAATACAACATATCAATTACCCTTGAAGATTTACGAGGTGTCATCACTTCTAGGTTAAGAGGCCCATTTTCATACTAGAAATAAATTCAATATTTCATTAGTGCAGATAAAAAAATATAAAGAATAAATTATTTTTCAATTAGTTTGATTTATGTCGGGTTCATATTTTAACAAACATTCTAATAAACTTTTGTTTATTTATTAAAACATGTAATTTTTGAAAAAAATAACTCCAGCTCTCAAAACTATAAAATATAAATATTGTGGATTATTTTACAAAGGACATATATCAAATGTACTGTAATAGTACATTTACACTCCTAATAAAATCTTACATGATAGTTATTTAATGAATTTTCATTAAAAATTTAGAAAAAGTACAATAGTGAATTTAAAATAAATTATTTATATTTATCTCTACAGCATCATTAGCAGGATCATTAAGAAAAAATTATTTATGGCTTTAAATTACAACTCAAAAACAACTAAATGCAAGAGATATATCTATTAATGTATAAAGTTATTGAAACAACCATTAATTATTATTTAATGAATATAATTTTAATATGAATGTTTTACTATATGTTAACTTGAAACAACTAATGTGAAAAATAATTTTGATCTATAAAGTAATTTTCTCAAGAATATTTTTGAATACAGCAATTTTATATAGTTAATTCAATCAATTTGACTTTTAGATACTAATACCTTAAAATATCGTCTTATGGTATTTGACTTTTTTATAATGTTATACTGAAATTTATTGTAATGGCAAGTAAAATAATGATTATATAACTCAATAAAAATTTCTATTAAAATATTTTTTATTACTCAAAATATACTAATAATTGACTATTTCTTTTTTTAGCTACCTAAATAAAATAAAATATGAATTAGATAAATTAATAACTTTACCTGTTGATAGTAATCATAATAATATGGAGGGTTATTAACAAGTGTAGAAGCAGGTACACTACTAGATGTATTAGATGGAAGACCAATAGATGAACTTGAAGTAGCAGATTTAGCTCGGAGTCGATCAGTAGATAGAAGCATATTTCTAAGAAGCTGGCTGGTAGTCTTGGCAATAGGGGGCTGGCAAACAGTTGTTTTTTCTGAAGACCCGCCAGAACAATTTCCTGACTTGGAAATTGTGTTGTTACCATTGTTAGAAGTGGTTACAACAGGATCATCAGAACATAACTTGGAAAAAAATAAATTCTAATTAAAACATTTCAATATACAGCTATATAAATATAATTACTTGAACTACGGTAGGCAGAACAGCTTGATCAAATTTTGATGTAGTACTATTATTGTTCGAAACTAATTTATTAGAAGAAATCGATTTTCGGGATTGCGATTTTTTATGAACGGAATTGACAACCCGTTTGGACACAGATGATAAACGTGAACCACTTTTGTTGCCACTGTTAGGCTTACGAGGCCTGCCAACGGCACCACGGCGTTTTTTAGCCATACTTAGTTCTTATTTGAAAAAAAGTTGAGGCTATATTCACAGTAGACAAAAAAACATTTCAACATGAAGTTGCTTAGATCATCTTCGTCCGCGTTCAACAAACTATCGGAAAAAAATTGATAAATTCAAATAACTGGAATAATATTGCTAAGGATTAATTAATACATAAAATTGTATGTTCCGGCATCAGAAATGTTGATACCGGATCAAAATTTAAAACCTTGAGCGCGGGCAAAAAAACGAGATTTATGAGTATATTGTGTTGATTAATCAAAACGATTTTAAGTGGTCAACAGGAGCGGCGACACCGTAAGGGTAACTGATTCCACTTTACCACCGGCACGCAAACAACCGGTGGCCGTAGAGATAACGGATTCGTATGCCAACAACCGGTTCTAGCAGCAAAGCGACCAAGGGCTAAAAATAAAACTATATTTCTCTGGGAAATCCAGATGAACCGCCATACGATATCAAGAATTGCACTCCTTTATTATCGTAGTTCATAAACATGTAATATATTACAACAACGAAAAATGACAGTTCAATGCTTCAATATTGAATTTGTCCGTTGTCGGCGTAATAATCGTTTGTTGTCGAAAAATTTTCATAGTTATTGCCAAGATAATGAAAACAACAACAATCATTAAAATAATAATAATTTTATACGAACAATATTATTTTATATTATCACAATAGAGTATCAGATGTACTATTACTTACACAGATTGAATATAAAAGATGATGCAGATAGGTTTAATAATACAAAATAATGTAATTTTCTGGAAAATGACCTATGCCTTATAACTAAATTTGAAATTATTTTTTCTTTATCATTAAATTGAGAAAATTATTTTATAGAAACAAGTGGTTGAATGCAATTAACTTGTTGATCGGTAATCGTGTACTAGTCTATGGCATGTAGAGATCTAATTATTAGAATAGCTTTTAACATATTTTAAGATTTTTAAGTATTAACGTAAGAGAAATATTCGGGAATTATTAAAAAATATTCATTATTGAATTAATGATATTTAAAAAAATATCTGATTACTGTTATAAAGTAATGATTTGTTTTTAATCAATCAAGAAGGGAGATCTTACTTGATACATTTAAATTATTAATATGTACCGTACATATTAATAATTAATAATGTAAGAAGCACAAAATAAACAAGACTACTGCTGATTCGACTTCTTTTGTAATAAGAATAAATTACTTAAATTTATTTCAGTTGTCTACTTTTTAATTGCATAATGTAGGACAATTTTTTTTTTACTTTTATTTTATTCCATTCAACTACCATACATTTTTCAATGACCATTTTTGCTCTACAAATATTAGGAAAATAAGCTTTTACAAAGATTGTTATAATTGTACATTGCACTACATTATGACATTAAAAACGGTCCTAAGAGGTTTATAGCTCTTATCTACTAACAATTTAGTAAAACTAAGGTTCGAGATAAGCATATCGCACTAAGTGCGAGAGGGTGGCCGTATCTTGAAAAAAAATCGTTAGAGACAAACGATTTTAAAGTTTCAACCTAAAATAAGCTGGTAGATCCGGGAGGGGGGATCGATCGCCTTCCAAATATGTTTTTTTTTTAAATTATATATATTTTTCTCACTTCTGTTTGTGTGCACATAAAGAAATGTAACCATTGCTAAACTGATTTTGTTTAAATAAAAAAGTATTACACGTTGTTTTTTAATTTAACTATAATTTATTTTTAAACTACTTGTACATAGTTATGTTTAAAGATTATAAATAAAAAATTGATACAAGTTGGAGTTGTCAAAATGACAAATGTTAAAAAGATATTTTTCGTCTAATGCTATAAGACAAAATATATTTAATTATGTGTTTAATATATTAATTATTAATCATAATAAAATAATGATTTATTTATAATGTAACTCAAGTATATTACGTCATAGGTTACATCAGTGCTCGAATTGGGGGGGTGCGCAGGGGGACGTAGCGCCTTTTTTTTAAATTTTTTTGCGCACCCCAACTACTTTTTTTTATTGGGACAGGAGGACGGTGGAAAATACCACCTCTTTTTTTTTTTTTAATATTAGTATAATAATGAAATATGATTTATTAATAAATACTAAATAAAGTAATGAGTAAAAAAAAAAAAAAAAGGTCTTCAAAATACTAGGGACGCAGTTTTCAAATTGTTAAGTTGAGCTCCCCTACTTATTTTTGGCCAATTCGAGCACTGGGTTACATAAATAAAAATATGTTCCAGTATATTATTTGGTCCGTAGAAAAAAAAATACTTTTTAGTCTTTGGAAATAAAACATCCTTAAATACAAAACTTATTTGTAACAATTATTTCCAAACTAGTTGATAAAAATATTTTATATTCGCTCCTCTCCATAAAGTAAACCTGAAGAATTACAAGAGTTACATTATGTGTTACTTTATTTCTAGTATTTATATTAAAATCAAGTCAACTTTTGTTCAGTTTATATTATCTAAATATGCAAAAACCAATTTTCTTGCATATTTAGATAGAGAATAATAAAGTATATAGAATTGAATAAAAATAAAAATAAAAATGAATTTAATGAATAAATAAGAATTAAATAAAAATGTCAAATATCACGAATTTCGATATATGACATTCTTGTACTCATATTGTAATATATAAGTTGTTCAATAAGTAAGGAAACGGGTTTTTATTGTTCTCGTTGTTTGTAACAATTGATCTGTTTCCTTAATTTTTGAACATTTTATACGTAGGATTAGTAAAACTTTACTTTAAAATATGTAAAAGAAAATGTCAAATTATGTACAACTCAACAAATATTATAACACCAATTGCTAGAGGTATCAAAATGATATTTTGGAAAAAATAAAATAAATGCAATACTAAAATGCAAAATAGACAAATTAAAGACCGCAGTGGATTTTTTTATAATACTTGCTATTTATTATTAATTCCTTAAACTAATTACATTAGAGAGATCGTAATTCTTAATTTTTTAATTCAATTATCACAAAATAATTTTTTGTCACTTTGATCTCTTTAGTTTTATGTACCTAAAAATAAATAGGTTCCAAATTGCCTATGATGGGTATTACTACATACATGATAAATTATATTACAATTTAAGGGTACGGAATAAAAATAGTAGTAGTCCATTTTTTTTCAATTTTGATTTTATAGTATAATTTTATAGTTGATTAATATTAGTATCAAGTAATGAAATCCATTCGATGACTAATATTTTCATTTTTCTAATATTCAAGTACTATTTTTGTATAGTTATTAAAAGTCTAACTTAATTTATACTCTCCATAAAAAATATTTCATATAAATTATTAATAATTTTCATATTTTTTTTTTTTTGAGGAGGTGGCTGTGACAGAATTAGGGGGACTCTCCAGATTGCGCCTATGATATATAGGTATATATACTAGTGTCAGACTAGTATATTATAATAACAAAATGTTGATAGCATGATGGATACAGATATATAATTAGGGCTGTCATATTTCAATGCAAAAAAATTGTTAACAGATTGAAAAAAGGGTTCATCGAGATTTTTACCAAAAGGTTTTTATTTGCTCAATTTTGTTTTTGTTCTCTTTAGAAATTACATTTCAGTACCATAATTACGGATATTTACCATATTTTCGATTTTAATCTCAAGTTATCAAGAATTTGACCCTACTTTATCGTAGACGTCTTCTGCATTTATAAATTATTTAATAGCCAAATTAAATTAAAACAGAAAAAAACACTAATATTAATAACATAACGTGCACTGTAGGCAAAATTGTTATCGCCTTAAAAATTGTTTGATAATCGTTTCAAATAGATATCTGTCATACCACTTAAAGGTTCTTAAATATTTGTAAATAAATCCTATCTATTATTTTAAGTAGGAGCGGACTGAGAACCTTAAGGTCTAGGTGGGATATATTTTAAGAGGCTTTTTTATGAACTTAAAGAGCGCATTAGGTCAGTAAAACTAGCCAACCTATATATCATATTAATTTTCTTTTAGTAAAGACAATAAAATTTCAGACCATAACAGTTAATATTGCTTTTTTTTAATTATAAATTAAAAATAAAGTCATTACTTTGCCAACCGTCTAGTTATGTGAAGGCTTTGTATAACGATTTTAAAAAATCTAAATACCAATCGCCATTTGTCCACTCTGTCAGTTTGCGCCTGATTTTGAGTTATTTTATAAGCTACGTGAGTCGTAGATTAAAGCTAATATTATATTGTTCTTAGTTGTTTTAACATAAAATTATAATCACCTAGATTAAAATCCGGTAAAATAATAAGTCTATAAGAGAAATTGATAAAATGTTATATGGATAAGCGATATTTAAATTACTTAAGTTGCTGTTGATCAAAAATATAAAAATCACCATAAATTTAACGTATGTAAATTAAAATATTAAAAAACCCAGCACATAGAATCAGAGTGGGAGGTAGTATAGTTGGGTTTAGTATAGATGATATCTGACAGTGATTTAAAACACTATCATAAAAAACGCTTCGATGCAAATCTGTAGATAGTCTTTAATTTTAAGAAATTGATTTATTATTCTAAAAGAAAAATTAACTCCTATTTCTATCATTATTCCTCATTAGTAGTTAATTTATAAGTATAATTTATGAATAAATATCTATTAAAGCAATTCAACGTAGTATAAAATTAATATTTAATAATTTAGTATTGTAATTTTTTCGGAGAATTTATAAAAAATGATTAAGTAGTCATTACTTTTATGGCAAACGTGTATAAAATTGTAGGACTTGACACAGAACTTTTTTGATAATAATTTGTTATTAATTATGAATAAATGGTTTGCAAAAATTTTTCAATAAAATAAAAAAGATACTTTTATTATTCAATATTTCGTGCTAATTTCAAATTATGTATAATAATAGCAATTATATATTTATCATCACCAATAATTTTTGATATTATTACTAATTAGTTAAAAACTATAGGATATAACTATAAGGAAAATAGTTCTGAATATTTCAATTCTATCATCTGTTTAATCATCAAGAATTACATATAAATTATTAATATTTCTTTTGAAATGATTTTTTACGATGAAAAAATAATTAAAAACCCAAAAAATTGTTTTTAAATTATTACAGATTTTTAATATTTTGAAAATAATCAGTGCAAAATATCATTTTAACCATTTTTTTTTAGTATTTTAAAGTTGATTTTTTGAAAGTTTATAAAAAAAAGTTGAATATTTTACCATAACTTTAAGTTCAACTTCATGTGTTGAAATTCACATTATTAAATAGAGAATTTTATGAGAATAAAAAAATAGATTGTTAAGATTAATTTGTAGTCAAGAAATTATATAACTACTATTTACTATAAATTTATCAGAAAACCTCAATATTCTTTTTGCATTTTTATTATAATAGATCACTTAAATAAAAATCACAGTAAACATTTCTATGTAATTTTTGGTGATTAAGAATATTTTACAATTGAAATATTCAGAATATAATTAATTTTGATAATATACTTTAACTAAAAAAACCAATCAAAATTATGTTAAAAAAATCTACTCAATTGAGTTTATTAGTTATGAATTTGATGTATCGTTAAAAAAAGTTAGTCAAGTAAGAGCTGAGAAAATAAATAAGAGCTATAAAAAAAAATCACATAGTAAAAAACTTTAATATGAATAAGAAATTTCTTTAAACGAGAGAGGACTACAGTGATGGGATTCTTGAAATTTATTAAAGTTATTCAATCGAATTGAGATAAAATTCAAATAATTTAAACATTTTTTTCTAATTCAAAAACTTTTTTAAGGTGTTTTAAAATAAAATCGAGAATTTTCACACAAAATTAGCATTCGGTAGCTATTTTCACCATAAAGACAAAATAAAGTTCGAAATTTTTTTTTTCCATACTAATGTATATTACATGATCTTTAATTTATGAGTTATATAAAAGTGTCAGTATTTCCTGAACACTTTTAAAAATTAAGTTGAAAAAGTTATTACATTTTTTATGAAATTTTGAATTTAGCTTAACTGTTGTTTTAACTAATTATCTAGAAAAAGTTAAGTTGTTTCAACGGAAAATTAAATTAGTTAGGTTAAAAAGTTTATTAGAAAAATAATTAAGTAGTTAAATTGAAAAGTTAAAAAAAAATTAACTTTTTAACTGTGTAGTAAACAGCTGAATAACGTCCATTTTAGTATAATACAAAATTTACAACAGTAGTAAGCAATTTTTGAATTCTCAAGCAATACGATGTCATATAAAAGGGAAATGCAGGGTAAGCAAATTAATAATGGCGGGAAAAAGAAGATAAAAGGTTAACATGAAAAGGAGAGGAGGACTAGCCATTTTGGCGAAGAAACGTCGAGTTATGGGTCAGGATGTTTGATGCGAGTAACTTTGTATTTTTTGCGATATAATTTATTTTGTGTTACATTTTTATATTAAATTTTGATTTTGTGTTTTTTTCGTTTCTTAAATAAAATAACTATTTAAAAACCGGCACTTAGTTTAAATATTTTATATCCACCGTACTGTTAAAATTGTGTGTATGTGTGCAGCAAGGTTGGACTGTTGATCCTTTAGTCGATCTTAATAATTAGTGTGCGTGCTGGCTAGTTTTTGGGTTTAACCATCCTTTAGTAAATATAGTAAAAAGGTAGTTGTGCTGGTGTCTGACGAAGCGCCACCCTTCAGTCTGCTACTTTTGAGCTAAACCGTCTAAACTCTATCCCTTTAGTAGTTCAATAATTTGAGGAATTGGGGCTGACCAGTGTATCCAACGGGAGGACTCGACAAGAGCTAAAAACGATGAACTCGTCGTCAAAGAACATTTGTTAATTTGTGCACTACTTTTTGTGTCTACGTCAGGGCACTACCGACGTACGACACTAGTTAATTCCGACCATTGGATGAGTGTATAATACTTAATTGCTTATTGTACAACAAAATTATCTACAATGGCATTAAATACCATTTATTTACTAGTTATTAAAGTTTAGATATTTAATTATTAGTCTAAAACATTTTACAATAATCAGTTGCATTTCTTTCAGTACAAGTTACGTATGGAAAAATAAACTTAATACTAAAAATCATTTATCGCCTTTGAGAAATAAGTTATCCCTGAAAATTCACTAGCTTATTACCTTCGAAATTCAACACTACACAAGGTTTGAATTTTAACCATCCAATTTTCTTAAAAGATAATAATTATTATAATTATGAAACTTTTTAACTAATGTGATGTAGTACAAATAACATACAATAATTTTTAAGACTAGGATATCTAATTTTAGAATGATATTATTTGAAACAATTTTTTTTTTATAAGTAAATTATGAAGAAAAAAAAATTAGTCGAGTACTTGTAAAAAGTAATATACTGGAAATATTTGAATAAATTAATAATTAAATTTTAATATTCATTTATTCTACTCAAAATATGTTACGAATTCTATGTTATTAACAAATTATCTTAATATATAAATAAATAAAAAAAAAACAATGTTAAATGTTAAAAATATAAACAAAAACTATTAACTTGGTGAATGGTCATCTAAATAATAAATTATTCATAAAAATTAACAAATATTATATTAACAAAAATCAAAGATTTTTCTTATTTAGGTTATTAAATTTTAATTATTAACATTAATACTTTGCATTTAAGTAAGTAAACAACTTATCTAAATTTTTAGTTTGATCACCTTGAGAATATATTATATTTTTCAACTTCTCTTTGCATAAAATATTTCGATTACGATTGATTTTTTTATCATTAGATTTTTGAGTGAAATTATCTTTTGTATTAGTGTTAACTATTTTGGTGTTATTCATATTGCTTGAATACTGTAATTTGGATAATTCATTATAGTTAGTATTACTCTCTTTTATAAAAATATTATTAAATTTATTCAGGAGATCATTCTTTGGACTTTCAACTTTTACTTTTAGATTATTTTGTGATAGCATCTGGCTAGATTTAGAATTTAAATTATTAGAACCATCTTTAGACTGCTGATTTAACAACAAATTTTGAGCAAATGAAGTTATGATGGATTGTGAACTACTAAAAACTGATGAAGTATTTGAATAAATATTCATTTCCTGTTCAAACATATTTGGTAATGACAATTCATCTAGATTATTTAGATTACTTGCTGAGTTTGAATTCTGTTTTGCGTTATTAATAGCATCATTAATAAGGAGATTACCTTTAGAAGAGTTATATTTCACATTACTTTCATCAATACTTTCAATAGTTTCATCAATAGACTTAAATTTCTTAACTGGGGAAGAATCCTGTAAGGATGACAAGTTGTTTTCATGGTCAATACTACTTATTCCACAAAAAGTCACTTTCTTTGATTTTTTCTTGTCTGATTTAATACTTAAGAAACTTTTTTTATTTTTTAAAATGCTTGAATGACATGTTAAAGAGTTTCTTGCTATATATATTTGTTTACTTTGTCTGTTATTCTTCACTTCTAATAATGAATTTGTATTAATTAAATTTATTTTTTGTTCTGTTTCATCCAAAGAAATAGTTCTTGGATTTAATGATTCAAAATTAGTACTGTTTAAAAAGTTTGATTGGCTTTCATTTTTGCCAAAATCAAAACTACTTACATTTTTTTTCTGATCTGCTTCAGTAAAAATTTCACTGCTTTTCTTTTTATTTATTAATGAACAAGAATTTTTGGTGAAACACGATACATTTTTTAGATATTTATTATGATTATTAAGTGTGAAATTATTTTTCTTATAAGTAATGTTTTTTTGTTGAAATAAATTATCGCGAGACACAAACTTTGATTGTGTTATAGAAATATTTAATGGTTTATAAGGCTTTATTTCGGAACAGTTTTTTTCAATCAATTTACAGTTTTCTTTAATCACATCATTTATGACTAGACAATTCAATTTAGGGGACTTTCGATGAATAAGTTTACTCTGTTTATTCAAATGACTTTGTAATTGCTCAAGTCTTTTGTTTTTAGAAATATAAAGACCATTGATACAGTGATTAGAATTTGAGTTAGGTACAGAACTTTTTAAAGTTTTGTTAAAAGAATTTAAGTTGTGATTGCTACATGAAAGATCTTCAACAAGTTCTTTATTTTTATTTAGAGTTTCTTTTTTGATCTTATTTTCACTGTAAAAAAAATATCAAAATATTAAACACATAAGTAATATAGTTGAATAATTTTCATTTGAAAATTAGTGATCTTAAAAATATATTGTTAATTGAAGATAATGTATAAATTCAAATCATTATAACTAACTTATTAGTGGATATGATTCTTAAGTAATAAATATGTTGGGAATAAGTTGAATGTGTTAATATCAATAGAATTTATCAAAGAAATAAGGTATTTCAATAATTTTGAATTGCAGTTAAATTAAAATTATAATGAAAATGGATAGTTTATGGTATTACAAAAAATAATAGTTAATATTTTTAACTACATAAAATATAAATTAAAATTGTGATATTCAGACTAAAAAGTATAATAAGTTTGATTTATATATTTTCCTAAAATAAACAAAACATTTCATTACTTGCAATTGTGATTATTTTATTTTAAACATTACTATTTTATAATAGAATATATTTATAAGTAGAAATTAGGCAGCTTAAGGAAGCTAAGCTAAAATTTCTTAATAAACTTTATTTTTTAACAAATTATTATGAGTTATTAAAAAATGTTCGTTTTTTTTTAAGCGCTTTAAATTGTATTCAATAACAGTATTTCTAGGTTTGTCTCAACATTGTGTTCAAGGTGTATAAAGAGCAATTGTGGAGAATTTAAGAGAAGGTGTTTATATGAAATGAACTAAATAAAAAAAGATCATTAATAAACTAAAATATATTGATTGAAAAATGACAAGGGCTATACATTTTGCCAAAGAGGTCAACACAGGCTTTAATACTTTTAAATTTTGGACTTTTACAATGGACCACTGCTCAAGTTTATAATATAAATTTAATAATATTTTATTATAATATATAAACATTTTACATATTATTAACTATATATATGTATACCCTGTAATTATGTGTATGAGGTTTGTATGGGTCTTTTGGGCCAACTAAATTTAAAACTGTGAGGGTTATACTAAGTGGGCTTATTTCCTATGCCTCTTCTTTCTATCTTTCAAAATATATACAGAATGTTCAGTAAATATGAAAATATGTCAATTGTTACAAACAATGATAACTACAGAAACCAGTTTTCTTATTTACTGAACATACTATATATACACACATAACATTTATATACTAATAAAGTTTGCTTGGAATATAGTTTTCTCGGAGCAATTTTGCCTCCCCCTTGTCTACCATTGATTGCCTATAGTGATGAATGAATTATAGTAAAATTATAAGTTAGAATATAAAAATATATATTAGGATAATAAAGTATTAAATTAACTAAGTTTTTTCTAAAAGCTATTGTTTGTATCACAGATACTGGAAACCTAAAAAATAAATAAGTGCCATTAAGAAATGTTAAAAAAAGCTACATGTATAGATTTTTATATTGCGGTCTAAATATTGAATAAATAGGGAAATAACTAATATATATATAAAGATGAAAATTATTTATGTATGTACCTGGTGATAACTATTGATCATTAGAAGTAATATTTTTTAACAGAAGAAAAATAATTTTAAACAAAACTTATTTCAGAAACAAAATGTTATTATTAATTTTTATCCATAAATAAAATACAATAAATTTTAACAGGTATCCTGCATGAAATTTTTTTTTAATTTTACAAGTTTTTATTGATTTATAAAGCTATTAAAATAATTCTTTGAAATGTTGCAAATAGATTAAACTGAAAAAGAAAAATAAGAATAGATTTCAAAAAGAAAAAAACTTTGATGCTAACATTCATCTATTTTACAAGAAAAACATATAAATATGATATTGCAAATTTGTATGCTTACCTTGAGAGACCGAACATTCTGAACACACTAATAATTATAAATATTAAATTTTTTATTTATAATACCTAATACACAAATTGAAATCATATCAAAATGATTTAACAAAATATAAGGGTAAGATACTAGTGAAGCTTTTTACATGTTAAAGTGCATTCAGTTAAATTGAATTGAGTACTAAATTACTTCAAATACGAGGCCAATATCACTGAATAAATGGAATGGTAACGTATTTATTAGTAGCAATGGGCAATTTAAAATGATTTTTTAAAAATCGATTTTTTTCGATCGATTTATCGATTTCAAAACTGATTCTGGCTATATGATTTTATCGTTGAATCGACTTGGTGTTATAGTTCGATTCAATCGATATTTTTTTAATAAAAATTAAGAAAAAATTTTACTCCTCGATATTATTTTAGGTTTGCGATTTTCGATATTTCATGAAACGTTCGACAATGTGAAAAAGGAGGGAGCATCATCCATTTGAACCAATATTGATGACCGTTTTTCCACTGCCTATATGAATACGGATAGTTCACTTGGTCCGATAACAAAACGGTGTTTTGATTGGCAGCAGAGAAATCAGTGCAACCATATGTATGAGCGCAAAAATTCTTTTAATTTATTTTATTATTAAATCTGCTGTAACGTAAATATTATGAAATTCCGTAAAAAAATATGAAAATTAAGTTATTAAACCCATAATCCCTCATTTAGCCTTATTTATTACCTTTTCATAATTAAAATGCCTTAAATTAGCCATGAATATTAAGTAATTCTTAGTTTTTATAATGTAAATTATTGACTACTTAAATTTGACATAAGCAGTTACAAATGTTTTTGTTTCTGTACACGAATACAAATTAAGGGAGCTATAGATTCGGGCTTCCTATTTTAGTAGGCTCTGAGGTAAAATTTCTATAGGAGAAGAAATGATTTTAAGAAGTAGTAACTGGAATCAATTTTATATGTTATAATTAATTACGTACTATCCGGCCGGCAAAATGTAGGGGTATAGATACCTCTTAATTTAAATACGTAACATAGTTTTTTTGAATCAATTATTTTTCTCTATACAAAAATAAAATTTTTTAATAATTCCTGAGAAAATGAGTGTTACCCAAATTGATCATTTTGGATCAAAATTGAAAAACAAATTTTTATTAATTCAAAGGTTGTCATTATTCATTGTTTTTTACATCGTGAAAATTTAGCAACTAGAGCAATTCAGCCAGAACTTTATTCAGTACTTCAAGACGTAATTCAAATTGTCAATTTTATAAAAGCTAGAACACTAAATTCAAGAATATTCTATGCCATGTGTGATAAGATGGGGTCACAGTATGTAAATTTACTTTATCACTCGGATGTACGTTGGCTTTCCCGTGGAAAAATTCTTACCCGTGTTATGTCTTTGCGTTTAGAAATACATATTTTTCTAACGGAAAAAAACACTCATTGGCTGATAAATTCAATGGGTTGCTAAATTGGCTTTTTTAAGTATTTAAACAAAAGCTCGGACTTTGGCAGGAAAAACTATTTCAGAGAAAAATTGCCACATTTCCCCTTTTAAGTGAATTTCTTGAAGATTCAACAAAAGTTACATTAAATGACTTAAAATTACTGCTTCAAGAGTACTTGAACAAATTACAGTTGGAACTCGATCGATATATACCAGAAAACGTAGAGCTCAGTAAATACAGTTGGGTAAGAAATCCTTTTGAAGTTTCTGTTCACGAAGTTGGTGAAGACATTAACGGGTTCCAAGAAGAACTTCTTGATCTTCAAGCCAGTAAAGTCTTAAAAGACAATTTTTCAAGAATGTGTTTGACGCAGTTTTGGGCACAACTAAAAGATAAACCGATTTTATTAAGAGAATCCGAAAATGCATTACTACCATTCCCAACCACATACTTATGTGAACCCGGGTTTTCTACGTTAGTTGTCATCAAAACAAAGTATAGAAATCGTCTTGATGTNTTTCTACGTTAGTTGTCATCAAAACAAAGTATAGAAATCGCCTTGATGCTCAACACGATATGCGATGTGCACTTTCAATGAATATACATCCAAATATTGAAGAACTCGTGGAATATGTTCAGCATCAAGGAAGTCATTAAGTAAGAGTTATACAATTATACCATGTCAAATTTGAAACAAATAATAAATTGCTTTTTATAATATTTTATGATGTAAATCACGTAATTTGTTCAGTTTTTTATTAGTATTTTTTAAATTTATTTTATTTAGTATTTGAGGATAGATAAATGTACCTATATATTAACCGATTTTGTTTTAATAAATGAAAGTATTGTTTGCAATTATGATTTTTTTTGGTCTCCAAAAGTAAAATTTAAAATATTAGGGTCACACTCATAAAAGGTTGGGAACCACTGCTATAGACTGAAAATATTATATATTATATAATAATATATGAACATTCATAGATTAATAAATGTATTAATATACATGGTATATTTATATTTGACATTAATAGTTACTGGTTTTTTTTTATGTTTATTTTAAGGTGCTAGCATATTTTTATGAATTCAGACAAATTTTTCTCTTGTAAAATGCACAAGATAATATAAACGATTTAAAAAGTTTTTCAACAAAATATTAAGACTAATGTATTTGATAAACAACAAAATTTCTACACAAAATTTATAGATAATTTTTTTTAAAAAATAACTATTTAAGCATATAAATTATGAAATTATAAGTACAGGAGCTACTTGAACATAACATATAGGTTTATTACTGTAAAATTTAAGTAAATTAATATATGAAATGAACTATTATGATTAATTTAATTAATTGAGACTTATTTTTGAAAATTATAACTAAGCTTTAACTACCCCTTGTAGTTATCTGCTATTGACACTTTATCCTGATATGGTATCGGTGGTCCCTTATATCTCATGGTATATTCGACGATCCTATTAGCTTCTCTTATACCAGACATCCGAGATCCATGGAGAGTACCATAGTACTCGGGGCTAGTATGTTCGCCAGCAAACCCGATTACTGGTGGCATGTTATTGCAAGCTGATAGAGGTGATGCAAGATCGTGGATATGACTTATATCCGAGCTAGTATTCATATAAGTTTTGAAACCAAGAAAATTTGGGTTTGTTGACCATTTGGTAGCAGTTACATGTGTTGGTCTTACAAGGTGAGGATCATTCCGAAATTTACATAGAAGGGCATGAATCTCATCCGTCAATATAGCGTTGTCCATAACTTCAACAGTCAGGGCATCTTTATCAGTTACTGTCATATTTAACACATTGGTACTTCCTGGAACTTCATGTATACCACTTACACCCTTACTCCAATGCCATTGACAATCAGGAGATTGTTGTAAATCTGCTTTGGACCACGCAAAATTTATATGACCAGTACCTGGCAACCAAAATGGTTGTGCATATAATGCATATATTTTACACACGTCTGCAAATCCCAATCGTTGAATAGCTTCCCATTGTCTTGCTGGTAACTCTGGACAGAACAATGACGGCGTGTGTTTGAGTATACCCAGTGAACAGGTGCAAATGACGTAGTCGGCCGGAAAATCTTGACCGTCTTCAGTAACTACAAGAGATCTCGGACTAGTGTTATTAGGCGCACCCCACCGAATGCTAATAACTCGTTTACTTGTCTTTAATGAGTTTGTTGGTATATGTTTCATCAAAGGAGTTATGGTGCCTATCATTCCTGATTCAACACGTATTAAGCCACCTGGCATTTCTACATTACTACTATATAGGTGGGCCGGTACTGATTGTAGTTTAGCACCCAGTTTAGTACGCAGATTGTTGGTCAAAGCGTACATAACTCGTCCTAAATCGTCACGTTCTGCTTCATCATCAAAAAATCCTTTGAGTTCATTTTGAATATACTCATCAATAAATTGAAATAAATCTTTAGGACAATTTGATTTGGTCAACGGGTCTTGTTCATGAGCTAATGCTGCAGTTCGTTCGATTTCTCGGAACCGGCTCCGCGCTTTTGTAACTATTTTGTTCTTCACCAGTCGATTCTCATTAGGTACATGCCACGCACCAATCATACTGTTTAACCGAATCATTGGTGATTTTATTAGACGTTCAACACAGGCTAAACGGAAGACTGAGTCTGATGGACAACCATAAACTGTATCAATACCGAATTCTATTTTTGCGTCACCGTAATGGACTGAATGTATTCTACCACCTATCCTTTGAACAGAAAAAATCAATATGTGCTTTTCGAAAACTAAACTTAATAAAAATTAGAAGAATCTGTTAAATTTTTTAATTTAGGTTTTTAGTCAACCTAACATTGTTATACTATAAAATGGCCAGGTCGAAAAATTTTTTAAAAATTAAAATTTGAAGCTATTGAATAAAATAAATAATTTAAATTAAATGTATTTATTAAACTATGGAATGCATTGATGGTGATTATTAAGTTATTAGTCAACAAATTTAAGTTTGTTTAATATGCTTTTTCGAATGTTTATAAAAATAAATGTGTACCATTATACTCCATACTCAATAAATGTTGGGAAATAATTTTTAGATTTAAGTTTAATTCAAATTAAAAAATATATTTTAAATATTAATTTAAAACTAAAAAATATAAAATAATTTAACTCAGAGAGCCAATGTTACTATTATTAGCACTAAATACATCATTAGTTTGAATATTTTAATATTTGTAGTTGATTATAATTTCAAAACGAATTGAAATTGTAACTTTTCATAAACTATTGATAGCTGAGACATACTTTTGGAAGGGGTGATTTTCCTTTTTTAATATGCTTATTGAATGGACAATAATATTTGCAAAAACGCTCTATTAAAATTTTTACATTTATCAAAACTAAAATTTTATTGTTTTCTTTGTAAGGCCTATTTTTGAAATATATATGATAATAATCCTCTATTATATGTTTACACTGTTTAACATAATAAATAGGCACTAATGATAGAAAAAAAAAATGAAACAAAATATTGTAACAATGATAATAGTTATTTTTATGAAAATAGAAATTCTTTTATTTTGGGGCTGTTTGTATACAGACGACAAGTTGACAGGACATTTTTAAACTTTTAATTATTTGTATTAACTTTAAATATATATTGAAAGGATATAGGATTTCCGAAATATTTTCAATATCTAAGTTAAAAATGTTCTACTTTTCATCTGCAAGTTTTGAACCATTTTCTTATTGTAAAAAAGGATAAGATAAAGTTATTATAAAAAATATGTCGAATAAAGGAAAAGTACCTAAAATACTTAAATTAAAAATGTTTATTAATTCATTCATTTTTCAAAAATTTAATGCATTTGTACCTCAAAAATACTACAACGGAGATTTTCACATAGAAGTTAAGTTTAGGGAATTTTTTTTTAATTAATAGTTTATAACACAAGATTTAATATAACAAAGTTTAATGAAAGCAGAAATTCCAGATCATTTTCAAAAATTAAGTTTTACATTTTCCATACAAAAGTTCAACCAATAAAAGTTCGTAGTATACCCCTTTCCTGTGGACCGGTATATGGTTAAATATTCAATAAAAAAAACATGATAAAAGGTCATATCTTATACATGTTCTATAGTCATGTATACTGGGATGTCCAAAAAATGTTTGCTTCGATTCATTAATTTTCAAAATAGTTATCGCAAGTTAAAGTAAAATAAAAAAATTGAAATTTCTTATTTATAATAATCGAAATTTTATTTGAGATTTTTCCTAATTACAAGGATTGATGCCAACATTCCGTTACTATGCAAAATATTACAAATTTAACCATTTTTTTAAATAAAAATTGTATGATTTTTAGCTTTAATCCTTTCAGAAATCGAGATTTCGTATAGTTTGCCTTAAAGTATTTTGTATTAGTTATAAATTATTCAAGATTTCAATAAGTCGGGTTTCTAATAAGTTATCAAAATTTTAGAATATAGATGTTAGGTAAAGCATGGGTTTCATTATTTGTATTATAAGACATTCCTAGACCGTACTTCTTCCCACGCCTAAGTATAAAAATGTTAATAACTTCTGAAATACTAGCTTAAAAGTTGTAGTAATTTTATTATTTAGATTAATAAATGATAAATTAATAAATGATCTAATTTATTATGTATGAAACGTTTTAAAAATTAAATTGATACCTTAATAAAGTATAATGGATAAATATAAAAAATATTTTATAATTTATAAATTAAGGAAAGTTGTTTGTAGATATAAAGAAATATTATGAAAAAGAATTTCGCAACAATTATTTAATTTTCAAAAAGTTATTTCAAAATAAGGTAAATATTAAAAATATGAATAATCACTGTTATATAATATTGGTATATTTTTTGTGCATTTTTTCTTTTTACAAATATTTGAAAGAATTTTTCAATATTATGGCATTGTTAGCTTTAACTAAATATATTTGTGATTTTTTGACGTGTAATTGTATAAAATCATAAAAAAAAAAGTAAAAAAGTATAAAAAGAAGGATAAACACTAATTTTAACGTCAACTCTCTGCTTTATATCATCGTTATAAAAAGATAGTGAATATTACTGGCATAAACGACATTTTTAAAAATAAAAGTAAGCACTTTTGTTTAAATAGACTCACAAAAAGGTAAGCATTTTATTAGATGTAAATTAGCATAATAAAAGAAACCCAGCACAGTGGGGTAGCCCCACAGTTGGAACGTGGCATAGTTTGGGTGGAATATTCCAAAACCTACATGATCTCCTATTTCCTGATTTATATCCTCATTACAAGTTTTATGATTTATAAGTATAATATATAAATAAATAAAGGGAAATAATTTTATTTAAAAAAACGGTAGCACAGTGGGGTCGAAGCACAGTGTAGACAAGACATAGATGGGACAAGTATAGATGATATTTGACAATGATTAAAATCACTATCATAAGAAACGTTTCGATGCAAATCTGTAGATAGTGTTTCATTTAGAGAAATTGGTCGATTATTCCAAAAGCAACACCAACTCTTATTTCTTTGATTATATCGTAATTACTAGTTCTTTGATTTTAAAATATAATAAATTGACAAACAAATGGCATATTTGGGACAAGTATAGATGATATCTGACAGTGATTAAAATCACTATCATAAGAAACGCTTCGATACAATTAAACACTATCTACAGATGATAGTGTTTAATTTTAAGAAATTGGTAGATTATTTCAAAAGCCACAATTACTCTTTTTCCCTTAATTTTATCCTGATTAGTTATTTGATTTATAATTATAATATATGAACAAATACTAATTATAATTATTAAATTTAGTATGAAATTGATATTCCATAATTTAATATTGTAATTTAAACAGAGAAATTATAAAAATAATAAAGAAGTTGTATTTTGCTTTATTTTTACGTGTATAAAATTTTAAAGGGATTGATACAATAAATTTCAATAAAAACTGTTTGTTACTATAAATAAATGCACAGAACTACAAGAAACTTTTATCAGTAACAAAAATATACCATTCTAAATCAATTTTTCGCGATGTTTTCAAATCTGCAATTAGACTTTTTCTATCACTTCTAAGTTTTAATATTATTAAAAATTAGTATTTACATATAAAAAATTCGCATCGAAGATAAAAAATTGGCTATTTAAGCTAACTAAAATTTAAAAATTACTTTTTTAACTTTAAAAAAGTAAAAAAAATTTAATAAGTTTAATTTCTTATGTCTTATGACCTTTATTCTATGTCAATTATATTATATAATATTCATGAAAGACAATATATTCTCCTAATAAGATATTTTAAAATAAAATAAAATACAAAACCTAGAATTTTAATAGAAAAATAGCATATTTTTGAATACGGTAGCCATTTGCGCATAGAAGATTGGTCGTCGGGACAAATTTTTTTTTTCATTTTATAGAACATAAAATAAGCTTTAATTTGATATATGTTTAAAGGACGCAGTATTTCAAGAACATTTTCAAAAATTAAGTTGAAAAAGTTAGTTTTTGTAAAAAAGTTGCTATTTTAAATCCCCCTTGTGAGTAGAATAAGTGTTAGATTTTCAAAAAAAAATGATATCAAATGAAAGGGAAATATCTAAGGTTTTAGTATAAAAAAAAATTATGTTGATTTGTTTATTTTTGAAAAAGTTATGAAAGTTTTAAGAAAAAAAAGTAAGAAAAATGACAAAATTTACCGATTTTTAAATTTGTAATTTTTTTGAATATTCCTCCATTTGCGGGGAACGAGGGAAAATTTTTCAATTTTTAAGGGTAATGTCTTCAACTAGATACGATTTGTGATCTTTTGACGTATTATTGAAAACGCTATTTTTGTGTTAAAATTTTCGATTTTTGATTTTAAATTTTATTATAAATTTTGTCATTTTTCTCACTTTTTTTTCTTAAAACTTTCATAACTTTTTCAAAAATAANGATGTTGCTTTTGGAATAATCCACCAATTTTTCTAAATGAAACACTATCTACAGATTTGCATCGAAGCGTTTCTTATGATAGTGATTTTAATCACTGTCAAATATCATCTGTACTTGTTCCATCTGTGCCTTGTCTACACTGTGCCTCGACCCCACTGTGCTACCGTTTTTTTTTATATATACTATTAGAAAAAAAATTATCTTAGCAATAAATGTTTATATTCTATCATTAAAAATATTAATAAAATAACGATGTAAAAAAAATGGTTCAAGATTCGGCTATAAATCTATCATAATATAAAATATTACATTTATTTATTAACATTATATATATATAAAGAGAATTATTATTAGCGTAGTAGACATGAAAGTTGAAGTAGCTTTAATTCCCATAGAATCATTTGTAATCTTTATACATAAACTTAATGTTTTGGGAGGAGAATGAAGAGAAAATTTAATGAGATAGAAAAACTCGTCTGGCCATTTATTCAAATTTATAAAATAGTAAATGTTATATATATATATATATTTCATATTATATATGAAAGTACAATATAAAATTGCTAAAATCTATCATGTTAAGGAAATTTGGAAAATTTTATATAACATTTTAACTTAACTAAAAGAATCAATTTAACATAAAATGATATATTATGTGTTTAGAGTAGCATAACTCTACATTAAGGAGCCCCAATGTATGAATACTTTAAATGTGACCCTATCACCTCTAAGCTATCTCTCTATAAATTTTAATTTATACCAATAGTCAATTTTTGCTAACCTAAAGAAATACCTAATAGCAGTTTCTAGACGGCCAACAAACTAGTAGGTCAATGAAAAAAAAACAATTTTTAAGGATTTATAAATAAAAATGAAACATGCAAATAAAAGATAAAAATATGGAAAAAATTATTTAAGTGTATTAATGTTATAGAATAACTATATTATAGCATGATTTATAATTTATATTTTCAATACGTAGTAATATAGAATTGAACAAAATACAATTTTTTGCCTCACGGTTTTTGATGATTTTCTAAATCAAGAAAAAATGTGTTTTCTTATTAAAAAAAATATCATTTGATTTGTCACGGAATTATAATCTTGAATATGATCATTTAAAAGTTATTTTGAAACCATTTTCTTTAAAAAATAATTGAACAAATAATGAAGATAAACAAAATCTAATTTCACCACTGTATTCAGAGTAAAATTATACATTAAGCATAGATTTACTAAATAGATAATTGTATTGAAAAAGTATTTATAACAAAATAGAAACAACAATTTTTATGAAATTTTACACATGTTTTTTCTATTAACAGAAATTATGTCGATTTTTTTATTTCGCAGCAAGCCAAAAATAATATATTTAAAATTCTCTTAACATTTTCTATTTAATAGCTATAAATTAATAACTGGGAGTTAATCCACAAAAAAAACCTTGTATAAGTTTTTTAAGCTGAGCTTTTCACTGTAATAAAAAGTTTAACTTAAATTTTTACTTACCATTTGATAATTAATTTAACTAATAATTCACGAAGTGAAATGTAAAAACAAAAATAACAAAAGAGTCATGTTTTAATAAATACTAACTTATCTGATGCTTCTAATATAACAAAATCGTGAATTCCTGACATAAATAAATATTGAGCTGCAGATAAACCAGCCATACCTGCTCCTATTATAACTACTTTTGGTTGGGGCCAAATAGGATCTATCTTGCAAAAAGTGGATGGAATACATTTTGGTGTATTTTTAGTAATGTCACAATGTGGCGAACTTTTTCTTTTCAATTTCGAAAAATAACTTAATGCATACTTCCACATAGTAAATGGTAATACTTGGAATGACCATTAGTCATCAATTAATTGGTCAATCAATATGAGTTTATTTTTGAATTTGATTTTACAATTACCAAATGTTGATAATGTTAAAATAATTATAAAACATAGATTGTTGACAATGGATTGTTATTTGTGACTTATAATAATTTTCTTAATGGCTAATAATAAACATATATTAATAACTTAGATAATAATATTATATAAGTGCCAATTTAAAATTATCCTAAAATTCGACTTAAAAATTCTACGACGGTAAATACAATAAAACTTATAATTTTTCCAATTTTTTTTTTTTTAATATAAAAGAAAGAACTGATTAGAATAAATTAATTAAAAAATAAAAACATAGTAAAAGACATATGGATTTATGTAAATAATATTTGATGATCAAAATTTTCGATGGAATACATAAATACATATATATATGAATGATAAGCAAAACTATATAATTTGAACATATAACAAAATTTACTTAAACATCAAATTTGAAATATGATTATTTAAAATAGTTTTTAAAAAAATTATTTATAACTTTAAGTACGTAAACTATTTTTATTGATAGATATAATAATTATTTTTATAGTAAAATTAATTTGATTTTAAGTTAAATCAAGAAAAAGAACAATGGAATTTTTTGTCCAATTTGTACACATTTTTCATTAATACGTATTTTTTTAATTCACTTGTAACAAATTTCTAATATGGTTCTTCAAATAATGTATTCAATATTGAACCATTGAAGAAATTATCAAATTCAAACCATAATATATCTCCTTCTTTATTTACTTCTTCTTCACACTCGCTTTTTCTTTCTTCGTCATCAAATTTACAAAATTCACTTCTCAACACAACTTTTAGACCGTCTTCGTCCATATGGTTCATCATTATTAAGTGAGCTATGTTAACAAGTGTGGTTTGAACATCTGTAAAGTATTTTAACAGTTACAAATATATATTTTTTAATTTCTATCAAAAACTATAGCTACATAGCATTGTTTTAAACTAAGTTATTAAGTGACAAAAATGCTGTTAAATTTATACAAATAGAAAATCAATTTACAGAGAATTTTTAGATGAGGTTATGTGAGATAGGTTAAGAAAGTTATAACTGTTATTATAATTATTTTCATTATTAATATTTATTTATAAAGTATATATTTGTNTTCATTATTAATATTTATTTATAAAGTATATATTTGTATAATAACTGTATAAATATTAAATAATAGGATTCGTCAACGATAGCGATATCGAAATCACACGATATCGATTATTTGTAATAATCCAAAAAAAAATGTTTAATAAAAAAACTGTTTCATTTTTGGTCACTTTCTAAAATATATATTATTTGATATTAGGCCAAAAACAGTTCGTGATAATCTTGTTAATATTTTTTGTATTAAAATATATTATAAAATATAGAATTGAGATAAGACAAAAAATGATATTTATTGATACAAAATTCTATTCTTAGATTAGGTTTTTATTATAACATTGTTGTTATACTCTTCATTATTATTATAAGGAGAATTAGAGAAAAAAATTCAGAATTAGAAGATATAAGCGGTTAAAACTCAATCTGAAAAATAAAATTAAAATATTGAGTCCAAAAAAAAATAAAAACCCTATTAGATGATAGTGATGAAGATGATGATGCTTTATTCTGTAAAAATTTTAATTTATTTTTCAAAAGAAGAAAAATTATTTTCACTTAAGATAAAGCAATAAAAAAATATAAACAGTACTTAAAATATTTTATTATCATTATTATTTACAACCAAAACAATGAAATTATAATACTATTATTCAATAAAGAACAATTTCATCCATTTAATATATAAGTCTTGAAATAAAAAAAAACTTATTTCTTCATAATAAAAAGTAACTTGAAAATATTTGATTATCATTATGTGATATAGCTATTATCTATACATTTTTTATAATAACATCATTTTCTGATTTGGTTGGTATACCATAGTTTGATTTTTATAACAATGTTAACTTAACGGTATTCTTGAAAAAAAAAAAATGGTGAAAACATTTTATTTTTGAATATAATTTTTTTTTCGATATTGCGATGAAATATCGCTAGAATTCAGTACGAGATCGATATCCAAAAATAAATCGTTGGCGAACCCTATTAAATAATAAAGAATGTTATAATATGACCATTAATTTATGTTCATTTTAGACGCGCTGGAAAATATAAATTTTGTTTTATTTTTAATAACTATTTGTTATCAAATGTTCTACATAATGTTTAAACTTACTTTTTGTCACATCAGGACTAAATTCGACTATTTTCCTTTCTAACATAGTTTTGATAATATCATCTAATATTACAGGACTACTTATGATACATTCAAATAGCATCTGAATTTTAAAATTAAAATTTACTTTATCATCATATCATTATATTAATAGTATATTATAATATTATGGCTCCAGCATATTTAAGATGGATTTTTATTCTTTACAAATTAAATTTATATTGTTTTTTAAAAACCGAAGTTAAAAACTAAAAATGAACTTTTCTAGTAATTAACAGTATGAACTTTGGTATTTGACCAATATAGATAGATATTAAACAATACTGATATAAGATAGATAGAGCTAAATTTATGGGGTCACCATTTGACTAAAATATGAGAATTTAGGGTTATGACATAATTATTATTAAAAAAAACAAACTTTTACTTACAAATAACGAAAAAATTATCAATTTCATTTTAGATGTTTTTGGTCTAAAAAAATAAATAATTTGAATGTAAAAATGAGTGACACAAAATTGTGACTATGAAATAGTTGATTGTATAAATAAGGGTACATAAAAATTAAATTAATAAAAATAAATTTTTTATTTCAAAAGTAAATGTTTAATTTTAACTTACGTATATGTTTGTAAATGTTTAATTAGTTAAGCGGTATGGAAATTTTGAAACTTTTAAAGGTACGCTGGTATTTAATTAAAATTATACAAAATTAATCCTTAAATGTATACATTTATTAAATAAACAATAGAAGTTTTATTATGTATACAAAAATTAAAAATAATAATTTTTTCAAATGGTGGTTTATGTGAAGAAAAAAAATTAATTCAAACTAAATAAATAGACGTAAATGGTATGACGCAAGTATATTATAAGCAATATAAATGTATGTTTAATTAATTGATAACAGTTTAAACACATTCAAACCTTAATAATACATGAAAATTAGATCACGTGGTTAAGTAAATTTGTTTAATTTGAAATTACATTTATTATAGATATGACAAAAACCGTTTTAACCTTCTATTGATTCATTTTTATTTTTTACTTTGAGTAACAAACATTTTTGATGGATGTTTTAAACAACTCTTTTATTAAGATTATTCAGTACATTATTCAGAAAAAACACCTTTTCTTTTTTATAAAACATAACATCGATAAGAATTATTTTATATTAAAACTACGTTCCCTGAATTAAAATTCATATTAGAATGAATCATACGTCTTCTATTGACAACTAAATTTTACACAATTTTTTGTTATCTTTGATACATAGCTGAGATACTCTTGCTTTTACATGACGTTTTATATTTTATGAGTCAATATATACGAATAGATCATATCTACCGGACTGATTTTGTTGAACGATACGTAAAAATATTACAAAACGTATCTAATTGAAGCAAACAACGTCAAAATTTGAAAATTTGCCCTAAATTCCTAAAATAAAATAGGATATTAATTAAATAGTTTAGATAACTACTATTCAAGCTTTTTTTTACTAATTTGTATTGAAGATTAATTAATATGCTTCTCTTTATATTATATGGCGTTATTAATAACAACAATAAAGATTAAGCGTTAATAACCACCGTTTTGGAAATAGTAGTAAAAATAAAAAAAAATTTTTTTGGTACTTATGAGTAGAATACATCATTGATCTATCTATAGTATTTTTAAGTAATTCAATTTTAATAAAAATTATTTATTAAGTTAAAAATGTGCTACAATAGAGAATTCATAAATTGCTTTAATTAAATGTATAATAAATACATTGGCCGACCCCAAGTAGTTGGGATTAAGGCGAAGAAAAAGAAGAAATGTATAATAAATAAACATAATAAAATAATTACATGATTACATATTATTATGATAAATCCCAGTATGAATTTTTCATTAATAATAATCTTTATTGTTTTTAAAATATATATTAATATCCTCCATTCTTTAGCAGATTCATTTTGCTTGATAGTTTATTATATTAAATTTCCCGCAAACTATATCCATTTAATGAGTTTATTTTCGACATCTTTTACGGTTTCGGGGTATATTATACATTACATTTTGATTTATCCGTATTAATTACTTTGTATTACTCTAATACGAGATTGTTTCAAAGAAAGACCGTTCAATATATTATGATATGACTTCGAAAAGTCAAATTAAAAAAATGGCATTTTAATCTCGTATTTAATCACATAGGGTAATATGTACAGTTATTGGTAGGGTTAAAGTTATTGACACAATTTTATCAATAAAAAAAAGTGTTTTGATTTTTAAAAATTAATTTTTTTTTTAATAATTATGCAGATTATTCGCTATACATTTTTTTCAAAAACTGAGTTTTTATTTAACTGTGAATGATACTAAATCAATGTTAAAAATGGTGCCAATTAAAAAGGACTAATAACTGTCTAATCTAAATAACATTAGTTCTTATAGAAAAATAATGGTGCCAATAACTGTATTTTTTTAACATTTTGTAAAAAATCAATAATTTAAAAAGTAGTATCAAACCTATACAAATTATACAAAATTCGAAAGAAAACAACATTTTTCATTGATACGAATTAGTGAAATATTTTCAACAATAGTAACAGAGATTAAATACACTGATTTTAACCGGTAACTTTTTTTAAGGTGCCAATAACTGTACCTTTTACCCTATATACTAAAATTTTTGAGCAAAAAGTTAAAAAATCTACATATTTGTAACTATTTAGCTAATTGCGTAATAAATAGGTATATAGACAAAAAAAAAATTTTAAGGTGATTTATTTGTATTATTACAACGTAATTATGAATTAATTTGGAAAAAATTAATAATTTAAACATTATTTTTGAAAAATGTGTTTTATATTTACAATAATAAGATTACATCAATACTTATTTATAGTAGGTATATTATAATTACAACAATTTTGTACAAATTATTACCTTAGTACAATTATTATAATGGAAAATTTATTAAAATCCCATTACATTATTGTTAATATTATATTAATAATTTAATATTATTTAATAAAATTGTTTATAATTTTGGCTAGTCATATTTAGGGTAATTTACTGTGGAAAGCAAAATTTCTAAAGATAATTAAATGTGTTTCATAATAAATGAGTACATCAAATATAATTACACTAAAATTTTTTTTAAGTATATAGGGTTTTCAGTAAATAAAAAAATGTGGTTCTATTTTTCTCAATGTTTGTAACAATTGACCTATTTCTTAACTTACTGTGTACTCTGTATAATTTGCAATATAATAAAATAATGTGTTAAGTCTTTCGAGGATTGTTATATTATTTTTTAGAACACTTACAAATATACTCATATCTTCTGTTTTTTGCTAACGTTTCGAGTTTATTACGGAGTTTATCTTCAGAGCAATAGTTACAGGTTTGAGGCGAACTATGTTACCATATAACTGTAGATATGGATATAACTGCAAATATTTGAAATAATAATAAAAAATGATAAAAATGACTATGACTGAGATGAACATGTGGTTTCATTGAAGCTTCGAAAAGTAGCTTAAAAAATATTCATTTCACTATGATGTTAGTTTTAATTATTTAGTTGTGTATGTAGATAAGGAGTGGTCATATAAGAGGGAGTATAGGTGTAGCGTTAATCGTAGATATGATAAGAGTAAATAGACTTAGATGGTTAAGGATGTCCCACCACAAGTAGATTGGATTAATGGGAGGAAAATAATAACATTTTAAAATACATAATTTGTAGTCATGTTGTGAAATCTGAAGATATTAATATATATTTTTTTATCATTTGATCACAATAGACAAGTTAACCATATTACTTTTTTTTATACTAAACAACCAAGTAAAATTGGAATCCGGTTAAGTTGATCATAAAATTTTTTTGTAATTTTTCCTAACTGTTCTGTAAGGTTTTCAAAGGAAACACAATACTATCCCTTTTTTTAGGCACGTCTTTGCACGAAACAAGTTAACGTAACTATTCTTCAGTTTCAATAGAATTAATACGAAAAGATTTTCTTTTAAATAATTTAAATAATAATTCATCGATTAATGATCTATTTAAAATATAAAATATAAGTCATTGTGGGAGATCATGTCAAGTGGAAGTTTAGGATAAGTGTGGCCGATTCCAAGTAGTTGGGGTTAAGGTGAGGAAGAAGAAGAAGAAGAAGTCATTAAAAAAATCGTTTATACTTGTGTGAACATATTGAAAAAATGTAAATAATTTATTATTTAATCCCATTAATAACGTCATATATAATTTGTAAGAAATATAAATTTCAATGGTTTTTTATTATTTACATCAGTAAATGTCATAATATAACCTTTACTTATTCATTTTTGAATATAATTGTTATTATTTTTAACATTTAAAACAGATGAAAGGTTGTTTTATAAAATACAGTATTGTTCTTTGTATAAACTTTTTTTTTTACAGCAACTTATTTAAAGTAAAATGTGTTTGTTATATATTATTTTCATTATAAATAAAAAATTCTGCTCCAGAATTTTAATATTTTAATTTTAGAACATTATATTGTAAAATATAAAAATCGTCAGTATCTTAGTTTTGATAGACGTTAGTATTATTATTAATAATAATATAATAAGTTTGATATATAACTTTGTATTACAAAACGCAATTAATCATTTAATATTTTTTAAAAATGAATTTATCCTTTTTAAATAATATTCAAAAATGTCTAACATTTATTAAAAGTTCGATACAGTCAGAATCCACAATGAGGAATTCAAGCATTTTTTAAACTAGTATAATTTGATATTTGACATTGAATAAAATCTCTGTCGTAAAATGCATTAAAAGGAAGGGAACTATCCCTTCCAATAAAAATTTTCTAGCTATCAATGGCCAATGATCAATTTAGGTAACGAAATACAAGGTGATTAATTATAGTCACTTTTACTCACCCAATTACTCTTAAAATAATAATTATATTAAGAATATTCTTTTTGATGATTTTTAATTTTATAAATTTCATGATTTATCAATTATTTTTTTAAAATAAATACATATTTAACTAGCTTATAAAATAATAAATGATCTAATCAGGAAATTTCAATTTCAATTTGGCTAAAGCAAATGCTAATATTTTTAAAAATTCAGCTTCATTATCTCAATATTATTTTATACGAATTGTACAGTACAAATGCGTTTACGCTATCTATATCAAGCATTCTATACAAAATGTTAAAGGACATCTCTGGGACACATCTCACTGTACCAGTGTCCGAATTATCGGAATTATTTTGGTCGCCCTCACCATTAATGCTTTTTTCGGAATCAGAAAAATGTTTCATTTCAATGCATACATTTCATCGTCACGTTACGAAATATACAATAATTAAATTCATGAACACTAATGTCCCAGTAACTATAACAAACGGTTGTATAAAAATATTCCTTTCTCCTATTTCTACTTTAACACTTATTGCTGTTACTACTGACAAGTAATAATTAATTTTTTTTAATCTTTAATAATGTATTTGACTACATTTTTTTTGGATCATTTTCATTTTGTGCACATTATGTTGACGTAGTAATAAAAAAAGTAAGTGAAAAAAAATCAAATCTTTTGAATCTGTGGAAAATGAAAACCCATTGTGATATTACTGTTCTTATTTTATAACTAACAATGTTAGTAAAATTGTAACAATGTTTATAAAATTGAATATAATAAATGGTAGCACAGTGAGGTCGCGGCACAGTATGGACATGGCATATTTGGGAAAGTATAGATGATATCTGACAGTGATTAAGAAACGCTTCGATGCAAATATGTAGATAGTGTTTAATTTTAAGAAATTGGTATTTATTTCAAAAACAACAATTACTCTTTTTCCCTTAATTTTATCCTGATTAGTTATTTGATTTATAATTATAATATATGAATAAATAATAATTACAGAATTAAATTTAGAATGAAATTGATATTCAATAATTTAATATTGTAATTTTTACGAAGATATTATAAAGATAATAAATTAGTTGTATATTTCTTCACTTTTAAGGCGTATAAAAATTTAAATGGCTTGACGCAATACTTTTCAATAGAAAATGTTTGTTATTTATAACAAAGTTATAAGTTTTATACTCTGGACTACAAGGAACTTTCATCAGAAATAAAAATATACTTTTTTAAATAAACTTTTTGCGATGTTTTCAAATGTGCAATTAGACTTTCTATCACTTCTAAGTTTTATTATCAATAATATTATTAAAAAATAAGTATTTGCATATAAAAAAATAATTAAGAACAAAAAAAAATTGTTTTAAATTAATAATGATTTTAATTTTTAATAATATGTTAAAAATAAGGAAAATGACATATTTAACCTATTTTTTTTAAGTTGATTTTTGTGAAAGTTTATAGTAAAAAAACTTAATTTATTTCCATGACTTTTAGATCAATTTGCATGTCTTAAATTGACATCATTAAATAGTTAATTTTATAAGAATTAAAAAAAATGTATCGTTAAGATTAATATGCTGCCAGAAAATTGTATAATAACTATTTATAATAAAATTATTAGAAAAGCTTAATATTTTTTTGCATTTTTATTGTAATCGATAACTTAATTAGAAATAATAGTAATATTTTTCTAGAAACTTTTGGTGTTTAAAAAGATTCTACAATTAAAATGTGAACTTAATAATTTTAATGATTTTCTTTAACTAAAATAACTAATAAAAAAAAAGTAGTTAAAAAGATATAAAAATCCATTGTTCATTCAGGAGAAACTAACAATCATTTTTTTTAGAAAATATTTATATAGCACATGTTACCAAAATATTAGGAATATTATAGTCTAGTATTAGCACACACCAATAAAGTAAAATGATTATTAAATTACAAAGTAAAATGATTTAATTTTGTAATTGAAACCTATCATATCAAACTTGATTCGTCAATAAATACTTTGAAAACATTATAAATGAATGATTTTAATTGTCTGTATGGAGAATATGAGATAAGTAACTGTTCAATTAATCAATTAAAATTTTGTTTCAATTTTTGAGGGTAACATCTTCAACTAGATACGAATTGTAATCATTTGACGTATCGTTAAAAAAAGTAGGTCAAATTAGAACAGAGAAAATAAATGATTGTCACAAAAAAATACCTTCTCACCTTTACATCATTTTTTTAAAAATTTAACAATTAACCTGCTCTCAGGGGAGGATTTAAAATAGCAACTTTTTACAAAAACTAGTTTTTTCAATTTAACTTTTGAAAATGTTTCTAAAATACAACGTCTTTTAAACATATGTCGAAATAAAGCTTATAATAAATACTGTAAATTAAAAAAAAAAAATTTGTTCCAACACCTTTCCTTCTATAGGGATATAGCCGTCGAATTTAACGAAACTTATAATTATTATGTAAAAATCACTGTTTAACATAAAATATTTTATTACTTAAAAATGCCATAACTCTTTTAAGAACGAACAAATTAAAATTATTTTTTCATATTGAAACCTTAGATATTTTTCTTTCATTTGATTTAATTTTTTTGTAAATCTGACTCTACACCTACCCACAGGAGGAATTCAAAAAACAATTTTTGCACACAAGTTAGGTTTTTTCAATTTCTGAAAATTTTTCGGAAATATTGACACTTATATTTAATCTTAAATTAAAGCTTATATTATTATTTAGTATAAAGTTCATATGAATATAAGAAGTTAAACTTATTTAAATTTTTTTGCTTTTTTTAAGTCGAAAAAATAAGTTTAAAATTTGAATTAGCTTATATTGCTAATTTTATTTATTGACGAAAGCGACGAACAGTTGCCGAATTGGTAACACTTGTGTCTTATACGGTTGGGTACACCAGGTTCAAATCCGTCTATGGCATTTAATATTTTGCATTTTTTTTAAGTTAGAAAAATTTTCAAATTATTTAATTTTTATCTCATTTAGATTCGTTAACTTCAATAAATATCAAGGATTCCATCACTGTAGTCTCCCCTCATGAGAAAAAAGTTCTTATTCATGTTGATATTATTTTACTATATGTTTTTTTTTTGTGGTGGCGATTTATTTTTCCAACCCTCAATTAACCTACTTTTTTCAGCGATATGTCAAATGATTACAATTCGTATTTAGTTGAAGATATTAACCTCGAAAATTGAAAAAAAATCCCTTAATTAAATAAAAAGTACCTTAAACAGCTTTATCCATACAAACAATTAAAATGATTCATTTATAATACTTTTAATGTATTTATTGTCAAATTAAATTTGATATAATAAAAGTATTCAACTGCAAAAGTAAATAATTTTACTTTGTAATTTATTAATTTTTAACTCTATTTGTGTGTGTTACTAAGAGTCTATAACATTCCAAACTTTTTGATAACATGTTGCTATATAAAACAAACATATAAAAAAATAAAAATGATTTCTAGTTTCATCTGAATTTAACAATCGATTTTTACGTTTATAATCAAATTTTATAATACGCTCAATTGAGTAGATCTTTTGAACAACTTTTTTTATTGGTTTTTTTAGTTAAAGTAAATCATTAAAATTAATTCAGTTCTGTATATTTCAATTGTAGAATCTTTTTAAACACCAAAAGTTTATTATAAATGATTACTATGATTAATATTTAAGTGATCTATTACGTTAAAAAAGCAACAAAAAAAAATAGAGCTTTTTTGATAAATTTACTGTAAATAGCAATTATAAAATTTGCTGACTGCATATTAATCTTAACAATTTCATTTTTTTCTATTTAATGATGTCAATTTCAAACTTGACTTTATTAAATAAAAAAAATTAATTTAATTACGTGGCAAAAAACCGAACGGTCAAAAAACTTCTTTTATAATTAAAGGAAACAAAGAGAAAAAAATTAGATATTAATAAAAAAATTGTTACACCTACACTTTTATAATGAGAGATTACGATGAACGTCTTCCGTTACTCGCCGGTCATCTTGCACGGCATTATCGCTAATTTGTCGATTTTGCGCCAAACGGCTCTAAGAAAAAAAAAAAAAAAAACGCAAAATTTGTCTATCAAAAATAAAAAAGGAAAGATTTTATGATTGTCATTTATATGGAGATCTAAAATGCTTGGACTATTCTGGAAACGTTTGAAATCATGTGTCAGTGATGAATGAAAATATAATTTAAGATTTTATAATTTTATTTTACTTATTAAAATTAAAGATTCCAATAATAATGATAATTCTTCTATATAAAAATAATTTTTTTGGTATAAAAATATGGATTTTAGTCTTTTTTTTTTTTTTTTTTATCAAATTTTAATGTCTATAGGTGCGTTATGAAAAAAGTTTTGATTCATAATAAAATAATAAAGATAGTTCATATAAAATTAACTTTATTTTAACCATTTTAATATTAAACATTGCATCATAGTAAAATTAATACTTTTTCTTTACAAGAGAAAAAAAAAGTTAAAAGTATGGAATAAAATTAATAATATTTATACTTCATTAAACTTAATAATTTATTATCTTAACTTATCCTGTTTTTTTTTTAGTGATATAAGTTAGTATATAACTTATAACATCCCAAGTGTAAAAACTTGTTTTATTTTACACAAAAACATAGTATAACTACAGTTAAATGAGGTGCGATATGACATACCGCACATTACTAGAATGTTATAAAAAACCAGATCACTAGTTAAGGGTTAAATAAAACGCGAGTGTTGTTAAATTTACCAACGCTTTTGGTTCAGTGTAATTGCAGAAAAATATTTTTAGATCAAAGCTATTTCACAAAACATATTTACATAAAAGCCAAATCTTTAAAATGATAACATTTTTTATTTTTATAAATCAATTACAATATAAAATAGGCTATACTAGATTTATATTTATTACATTATACGTGTTAATACGCCATTGCAAGAAAAAAAAATCAAGTATATCGATCCACAAGGTAAATAATTCATCTGCTTAAAACTATGACTAAACAAAAGAAAAACACATTCAAAAAATTTTTTTTCTTATAATTAAAAAAAATATATTTATATATATATATATAAATGTTTTTAAATTTTAATTCTATAAGAATAATAAAAAATTAAGCATACAATTATTAATTGTATTTAAATTCATTTAATACAAAAATAAATACTTTTACGTAGTTAAACTATTTAAAGTCAGTGTTTTTTTTAGCTAAGTAAGTTATTTCAAGTTATTCCAAGTTTTATATTCATAGTTAGTTAAATTTTCAAATAAATGAAATATATGTAAGTAAAGGACAAATACTGGGCCGTCAGTACTCGGACTGATGGTTTTAACGGATGACCGTCAAGATAGTTATCAATTATAGGTGGGATGTAGCCGACTTGACTCCTAGTATAGACACGTATCAAAAATCTGTTAATTAGCATAAACATAAGTTAATGATGTAATTTAATTAATATTTTATTTTTATTAATCTCTTGATTTTAATTTGTCCTTACATAAGTTTATACTTAACTCTAAACATTATTATTTTTCGGCGTGTGTGGTTATAATTAAAACATTGATTTTTCGGTAGTACTCCTCCTTCTGTCTAGGTAAAAATATGTCAAGATATACATGTTGTTATTTAAAACGTTATATTGATATCCTTATAGTGAATAAGGAATCAAAAACATCTAATAACAGTAAAATTAAATGTTACATGGAATTTTAAAAATTCAAAATATTCTCTATTGTTAAGAATAGAATAGACACGTGTAAAAATTTTTCATTTTTCTGATTTTTACACTAGCATGAAAAATATACACAACATTTCTAGCCAGAAAAGTTACATTTTGAAATAATTGTTTCTGTTAGAGAATTTTACAAGAGTTTTAAAATAATAAAGTTACGAATTTTAAAATGCTTCTTCCGTAAAAATAGCTTTTTCGAGCTTTTTAGTTATAACTTTAATTAATTTATAATAATTTGTATAATTTTAGTCCCTAAAATTGTTTTTTTATTACAATTAATTCAGTGGTTCGTGATAAAAAAATCACTGAATATATTTCTTTGTATTTAAAAATTACAATAGTACATATTTTTAGGTTTATTTCTATCGAGTCAACATGAAGATCATGATTATTTTTGCGTCAGTAAGTGTATATTTTGTTATCATAAAATAATTACGTACGAATTTGCTGTTTAATAAATTGTAGTTATCCTTAAAAAATTATATGCGTATATAGATTTTTTTCATTTATATAGCTTATGGACTTATTGTTTGCTATTGTTAATAATGTATTACAGTAATAATGAGGTATAATAATAGAAAATTACCTACTACAAGTATTAGTTCATTTTTTTGACGTCCGTTGTATATTTATTGATTCAAGTGCAATCGAATCGATATAATTTAAATTATATATATATTTTATATACATATTATATATTATATTATATATTGTATATATTGTATCATATTCCGCATTATGAGTGCAAGGGAGCTATATACCAACATTATGATATTTAACATTTTTGTTTAAATCAACTTAAATTATAATTCTCTAATTTTGCAAGAAGCTCAGATAATAGTTAACTTAAAGTTAATATAAATACTAAAAACAAAGTAGTGCATTACTTTGTTTTTAGCATTTTATGCACACTTTTATGGACACGTTCTCAGCTCGCTCCAAACTTATACTGACACTGTACAGTGAGTCAAGTAGATATTATAATATCGTTAAAAAAATTAATTTGCTTCAAGAATCATCTTACAAACATTTATGTACAATCAACACCATTAGAAAAATGTTTGACCGAGAGATTAAACCATACTTAAAGATCTGTAAGACAATAATAATTCAACGGGCAGATTATTTTTTTTAGACCGAATATTTACTTCACACATTATATATAACAACAACTTATGAAAAGTATTGGGTCCCAGTAAATATCTTGCTAAAACAAATATAATCACGAAGGTAAAATAAGAGGTTTTATTTACTCAAAATTTTCTTGAACACTTATTAAGTATACATTATTGATAGTTTCATTATTCATCTTATGTTTTAGATTTTCATTGTGAAAGCAATGGCGAACAAAGAAAAACATACATTTTTTGAGATTAATTTTCCCATAGCTTTAGGAATAATTTCCCAAGACCTTGAATCATTGGGCGTAGAACAGATTTTAAGGGATGACAAACAATATTGTACGTATTAATACTTTTTATAATTCGTAATTGAACTACCAAAAATTTTTAGTTGTAGTAAAAGACATAAAAAGTATTTAAAGACTTATTCAGAAGATAAAATAATCTCGATAATTTAGTTTTATAACTATAAATAAAAATACTAAATATGGCAAAAATGATAAAAAGGGATTATTAAAAAATATTATTTCTCATAAAAAAATAATGTTGATCCATACACTTTTCAATATGTCATAGCATTATTAAGTTAAAAATGTAAAAAATAAAATCGAGAATTTTCACACGAAAATAGCAATTGGTAGCCATTTTCACCGTGAAGATGAATAAAGACCGAAAATTTTTTTTTCCATAATAAAGTATATTACATTATCTTTAATTTAAGATATATATAGAAAAGTTAGACTTTCCGGAACACTTTCAAAAGTTAAGTGTAAAAGCAATTTTTTTGTGAAAAAGTTGTCATTTTAAATTCCCCTCCTGTGGGCAGATAAAGGGCCAGATTTATAAAAAAATATATCAAATGATAAGTAAAGACATCATGCATCTATATAAAAGTAATTATACTATTAATTTTTTTTCAATTTTTGAGGGTAATTTCTTCGACTAGATACGATTTGTGATTTTTTGAAGTATCGTTGAAAGAAATCCGTTCGGTAAGAGCTGAGAAAAAGTGGTAACAGACACACACAAAAAAAAAAACATTATAGTAAAACCAATACCTTTTCAGCTTCGCACCGAAGCTAAAAATAATCTTATTCTGTGAGAAATGTATTCAAAATTTTAATAAATACTATTGAAAAACTTTAGATTCAATTACTGATACTTAAAAATTTTTAGATTTTTACCAAGAAATATTGAAGTTAGGAACAGACTTATTAAAAACAAATGAAAATGATAAAGCAGAAGAAAATTTAGTTAAAAATTGGGCACATGATCTATGTGTACAAAAAGTGGAAGATAAGTCTCAAACGAAACTAAAAAATCTTTTTAAAAAAATTGATTTGACATGTATAAATGCTATAACAATTATTGGTAATACTTTCCGTCATATAATTTTAACACCAAGTATTGTCAACGTGACTGAAATAACAAAGTAGAATAATGTGCATTTGCTGACACATACAATGAATAACTGTTAATTTTTTTAAACATTTGCTAAGTCATAGATCTAAGAGTAAACACTTTGATCTACAATATATTATTATAGTACTTTTCTAGTTTATACAAAATTTCAAGTATTCTGATGTAGTTTAATTAATTACTAATTTTAAATTATTATCTGTTAAAACAAATTATTTTATTAATTTTTTTTAATTTATGAAATAATAAGTTAAAACTGATTTGAATCCGCAATAATTTAATGTTACAATATATTCTTAGATTATGTTTTCTTTAAAATTGACTTGAAAGTCTTGGTTAAGAATATTTAATTAAGTATATTAAATTGTAATGTATATTATTTTAATTAAAACATATATTATTTTAAAAAAATTCAATGACCATCATTTTAATGAGTATTATTGAATTATAGAAAAATATAAAAGTAACTTTTCATATGCACTAGTGTGAAACGAGCTTTACAAGACTTACTACAAATTTCACTTTTTTATTTCACTATATAAAGCAGAAATTGGTAATAAGCGACTCATATATCGAAAATTAATATCCCACCAATAATATTTTGATTTTATATTTCTTTATCATTTAATAATTTTTTATATAGATAACATAAATATCAGTGGCGGCTTGTGGTTTGGATGACAGGACGATCGCACCCCTTACTAAAATTAATTAAAAGTAGGAAATTAATTGTATATTCTTAATTCTACATTTTTAAAAAATATGTTTTATTAAAAATACAAACTTATAAATAGTAAAATAGTTATGATGCATTTGTTGTGTGCGAACAATGAAGTAGAGCAGAGATGAAAATATAAATAATTATCTTTATTAAAGATATACATAATAAATCCGTATATTTAGTTTATCCGCTGAAAGTGTGCGCTGAAGAACGTAAAGACCATATCGATTTGTTAATTGTATCAAACATCCCGGGTGACAGTCATTACACTTATATTACTGATTTTGATCGATTGGTACAATCACAAATAACAAAAAATACGGCAAAAAGGATATTTTGTAAACGGTATTTCACGGATTTTAATAATATACCTAAAAATTATAAACTACATGGAGTTGAGGCACTAGAATATTTAGCGTTATTTGGAGTCTTAAGCAATCCTACCGGAAGCAAATGTTGCTCAAACTCATGGAACTCCAAAAAATTACCAACTTCACCAAAACCGTAACGATTTTGGATGCTATCAATTTTCTTACACTAGCACAGGATAACGTCTCAATACAATTTATAATTGTTTCCGCCATGCAGGTTTAGTAAAAAGTTCAACTGAAACAGCAGAGTTTGACCTAGAAGATGAAATTCCACTTAGTGAGTTGAGAGATATCCATAAATTGCTAAGCCTAGATGAATTCAATGACTATATCAACGTTGACATTGAAATAATAGTTTCACCTGAATTAACAAGCATAGAAATTATGGACCAATGCTTAACTGAAAGCGAACTTCAAGAACAGCAGAGTGATAGTGAAGAGAATTTAGAAGAAAATATAACCACTAAGGAAACATTAGAATGTGCTCGAAAACTAGAAAATTATTTGCAGCAACAAAAAGATTGCCCAAGCTTGCTTTTGTTTCTTAAAAAAATTTAGCTTAATTTACAGGTAGACTATCTAAGAAAACTTGCTCAGAAGAAAATAACTGACTTTTTTCTTAAATATAAACAATTTTATAAATAATAAAAACCCAGCACAGGGGGGTCGCGGCACAGTGGGGTCGTGGCATAGTTGGGTCCAGTATAGATGATATCTGACAGTGATTAAAATCACTATCATAAAAACGGTAGCGATGCAAATCTGTAGATAGTGTTTCCTTTAGAGAAATTGGTGAAATATTTTAAAAGCAACATGAACTCTTATTTCTTTAATTATATCCTGATTAGTAGTTCTTTGATTTTAAAATATAATATATGAATAAATACTAATTATAGTTTTTAAATTTAGTATGAAATTGTGAGGCCAGCTATGATGTATGGTTAATAGTGTTGGGCGGTTGATAAGAAAGTAGAGCAGAGAATAAGTGTAGCAGAGATGAGAATGCTTAGTTGGATGAGTGGAGTGACTAGAGAAGATAGGATAAGGAACGAGCATATAAGAGGAAGTATAGGTGTTGCGTCAATCGTGGATAAGATGACAGAAAATAGACTTAGATTGTTTAGTCA